CCAGTTCTATACAGGGTGTATCTGAATGACATGCCCAAACTTCAGGGGGTGATTCTTTAGGCAATTTTAAGGGTACTTTGATATATAAACCATGGGCGACTTGGGCTTCCCTAAGGAGCTACACTATATCGATATTTAGCCTAGTGTGCCATGGAAAACAAGCCTTCTCAATGAGTTCTTGTCAAAGACTCACTAATTTACGTCATTTGATGCATGTGAGCTAATAATTATCTGTTTGATCTCTTAATATTAGTATTAAAAAGGGTTAAAATCGATTACAATAACGAAAATAATATTTACACAAGTCAAGAAATTCTTAATTTTCTTTTATACATGAAAAGCGCGACAAAGTTCGTAGTATGATTCCCAGATCTTTGGCAGCTCGAATTGAGGCGTTGGGACTGGGCTCGAAATAAACCAAGGTATTCACCTCATCCGCTGCATTATCTAGTACATTTATCTACTACTTATATTATCTACTACATTTTTTGGTCAGTTTAACACGTGATTAGTTCGTCCAAAATGCGAAAAATTTCCTTCTATTCTTCTAAATTTACCTTTTGCCATCGTAGGTAAATGTGGATAGTTTTCATTAAATATTCTGCAAGTTCTATTAAGAACTTTGTCGCACTTTCCGTGCACAAAAAATAAATTAAGCATTTCTTCATTTGTATAAATATTATTTACGTTATTAACATCCATTTTAACTGGTCTTACAATTAGACTCACAAGCATCAAACAACGTAAATCAGACTTTGACGTTTGTTAATAAATCATTAAACATTTGTTTTCCATGGCACACTAGGTTAATATCGATATGATATGTGAGCATTTTTCAAAAAACCTTAAGCATTTCCCAATCTATTAATGTTAGGTATAGGACATATGGAGTATAAAAGATGTAAAATGAGACGACGAAATTGACTAAGTAATAAAATATGGGGGGTGCCATTTAAAAAAATTACTTCCAAATTTCGAAAAGTTAACGTGCCATAGTAAAGTTACCAAACGATTTAGACAGCCGTTCTCGGTACCAAAACATGCTCCATCGTGTTACTTAATCATGTTCTGAATCCTAAACGCACTTCCGGTATAACCGGAATATATATTTTGTATTGAATATATATATTGTATATTTTCTACTCCAAACTTTTAACCTTTATAAGTTATTTCAAAAGTACTACTTAACATATAAATCATCGTACTAAATTCCACCAAAATTTCGAAAAGTTAACGTGTCATAGTAAAGTGACCAAACGATCTAGACAAAACCGTTCTCAGCAACAAAACATACTCAACATATCTCAAAAATCGAGTGTTCTCTGATTTTTAAAAGTAAGTAAAGTTATTCATAAGCCTTGAAAACAGACAAATCCAACCTTGTAAAAATACAGAGTGTTCCATTTAAAAAAATAAAGTAGGTGGCGACTTCCGGTATAACCGGAAGTGTTAGAAATCTGAAAATATTTTAGTCGAAGAGAACGCAATTGATAATACTTAAATCTGAATTCTCAAATTTTTATTTTGGCCAGAACCCCAGAAACGTCTAATGACCGGTTTCGCTGAAACAACCTGTATAATATGCTCACTTTCATATGAAATCATGAATTAATGTCATCTAATGTGTCAAATGCGTATTTGGCACACTAGACGACATTTAATATCAATTAGACATTTATGACATTTAATGTCATCTAATTATTGTCAGCCCAACGAATTTTAATTTTTTGTAATTTTGAATTCGAAAATTCTTAAATTTTTAATTTCTTACAAGATAAATAAGATTAAAAAAGACTAATATTTTTTTTTTATTTTTTAGGTTATCGTGGATTTATCTCAATTTAATCTCACACAACCAATCAACAGTTGGTTCGATCTTCAACCTGAGAAGAAATAAATTTATAAAATTAATCAAAATTAATCTTGTTGTTGTACTATGTCTTTAACATTTCTTTTCTATTTATTTAATCTTTATGAAAGGTAAGTATTTGAAAAATTGCATTTTTTGGTCATTTCATTATTAATTTATGCTTTATTTACTTTATATTCATTGCTCCGCAGGACAAAAAATATTGATAAGGCTAAATTTTTTCTTACTTTTCTTATAAAAAAATATTTGTTGTTATAATGTTTATTAACCATTAAAATATATATTTGCACTACACATATTTTTCATTATTTATAGCCATACAATCAACAAAAGTTTCAGATGTAGTGGTTGCTCCTGCTATCCGTGCAAAAAGTCAATGCCCCTCACTTTAGAGATCGATATCTTCGCAACCGCTCGATAGAAAAAATTGCGACAGAGTTTGTTGTAACATATGTTAATTTGAATTTTCGGATCCATGGTTTTCTTTTTATAGCGAGTTAAATGAAAAAAGTACGCGATTTTTTACGGTATCGGCAACTTTGTCAACTTTGCGATTTTTTTTCTCGAAAACTATCGTACGAAAAAATTTTAATTTTGAACAGGTGGTAGCCTGATGTGTTCTTAATGAGTGGCATATTTTATTTTTTCGATACTCCATACAGTTTCGCGGAAAACCGCGGTTTAGTAAGACGCTGGGTGGCTTTCCTCGCGGATTTGACCAAAATATGTCAAATATAATGCCGGTTGTCGGATTCCGTTATCAGTTTTTCAAAATTAGAGGTCCCTAATTTTTTAAGAGCGATTTAATGGAATTACAAATTAGAGAGAAACAGAAATAAGCTCTGCGGTGTGACGGGGGTTCTGTCCAATCGGAACAGATGGTGCGTCCCAGACAGGACGTCGCGCCTATTTCTCTGTGTAGGTAAGATAAAGGCGCGACGTACTGTCTGAAACGCACCAGCGGTTCTGATTGGACGGCACCGCCAAAACTATTTCGACATATTGTTGGAGAAAAAAAATCGCAAAGTAGACAAAGTTGCTGGCACTCTCACAATCGGGTACTTTTTTCACTTAAATCGTGATAAAAGAAAAATCGCGGACCCGAAAATTTCCAAATTGACATATGATACGCAAAAATGTTCACTGATTACAATAAACTTTACCGCAATTTTTTCCATCGAGCGGTTACGAAGATATCGATCTCTATAGTGAGGGGCCTTGACTTTTTGCACGGATAGTAAATACCTTTGACATACAGGATGTGTCCTGTATCTTTCGCATCAGAGCATTATACGGTTGAAGCAGAGCTGAGCAGATAAGCAAATGCAATAAGACTGGCGTGGATAGCGTTCTGCAGTTACAGAGCAAGAACAAGTAAATTTAAAATTATATGAAGGTAAAGGTACTAAAATTGTGTGTAATCCCGATCTTGATATATGGTGCTGAAACATGGGCACTTACCTAGAAATATATGTACAAGATACAAGCTACCCAACGTCACATGAAACGAGCCATATTGATAAGACAACGCACCAAGATGTAAAACGTAATGGATACAATATTGAAAGCGAAATGGCATTCGACGGATCATATCGCTGTTGGAGAAAACAAGATGGACAAGAATAACAAATGAATGGAATCCGTTTGGAGAGAAAAGAAACCCAGGACGTCCCATATTGCGCTTGTGCGACGATATTTGGAAATACCTTGAAAAACATGGATGACAACAGAGGAAAAACAAAAAAGTGAAAAAATACGGAGGAAGCATATGTGCATACATGGACGAGAAATGCTGAATAGAGAGGTAGGGAGAAAGAATTCTCCACATCAGTTTAACCCTTTAAGGACCAAGACTGTATATTGGAAGCACGCAATATCGGAGGCACGTGTAGGGATTGCGTTCTAATATTTTCATAGGTTGTTTCTAAAGCTTTCATGACAAATTCGATAATTTTCGTTAAATATTGTTCCACATGTTTAGAGTCCTACATCTCGTACTACTTTCTTCAGGGCGATGTAAAAAAGGTGACATGACAGCCCATCTCCCTGTCGTAGACCTTCGTGTATGTAAAATGTTCTTGATAGATCTTCTTGTGTTTTAACTTTAGAGGAAACTTTTGTGAGAGTTGGACGTATTATTGTTAGCAGATGAGGGGGTGTGGAAATGGAACACTGTGGAAATAACCTTCACTACTCCAAGGGAAATATCCACTTATCCACGAAATTCCACGTAATTAAAGAAAATATCGACCTGAAGAAAGCTTTTTAAAAACAAATTTTAAAACATTTGCCAAGGAAAGCTATAGTCAAACTGATACATATTATCAATGCAGCCTTCAGACTCAAATATGTGCCTTCCTGTGGAAAGTTGCTGAGGTCATGATCCCTAAATCGGGGAAACCACCAAACGAAGTTTCGTCATACAGAGAAAAATTATTTGAGAAGATACTATTAAAAGGACTAAATTCTATACTAAGTCCATCACATCAGTTTGAATTCAGAGAGGGACACTCCAGCATAGACCAGATACATAGGATAACTGACGTCATAGAAAATTGATAGAGGGAAGGAAAATCTGTTCTTCTGTCTTCCTGGATGTGGATCAGGCATTTGATAAAGTTTTTGCATGAGGGACTCAAATACAAACTGAACAAACTCTTGATCAAACAGTATGCACAACTGCTAGACTCGTATACATCAGAACGAGCCTTTAGAATAAAGCAAGATGCGTATTCAGATTTAAAAGAAATTAATGCAGGCGTGCCACAAGGAAGTGTACTTGGACCAGTCCTGTACCTCTTGTACACTAGTGATATCCCTAAATTAGAAAGCGATACTATTGCTACTTTTGCTGATGACTCGGCCATAGGCAATAATCATGAAGAAGCAGCAAATAGACTACAGACATCAACTAATAAAATTAATGACGGGACCAAAAAATGGAGAATTACTTTAAATAAGAATAACGGTACATGTTAATTTTACAAACAAAAAGGAGCAATACGTACCAATCAGAGTAGATGATAAACAGATACCATATGCGAACTCATCAAATTGTCTGGGATTAACCTTGGATGCAAAATTTCGCTGGAAGGCTCATATCAAAAAGAAACGGGAAGAGCTCGGAATCAGATATAAGAAAATGTATTGGCTGTAGGGGAGGAAATCCATTCTGTGAACATATAATTACTTGTGTATAAACAGGGGCTTAAGGTTTTATAATAAAAAGAAAAAAAGGTGAGGGTGTATATTATTAAATTGTGACAGGTTTTTTTGTTTTAATAAGTTTTGACTTTCGAATTCCTGCTTTGGAATTTTCTGGAAAGGTGCAGATTCAAGAAAGAAACTTTAACATAATAGCTCTTGGTAGTTTGTCAGACTTATCATACTACTGTTATCGTTGGTGGGACACTACACGAATCAAACTGACCTGAAACACCATTATGGCGTAAAAACTCCAAAAATAGTTGTATGCAGAGAGTATTTTATTGTTGGCTAGGTATGACAAATTTATTGAACACGAACATTAAGTTGTCGTCATCAAAGGTTAAGTCTTCATTATCTTCAACATTCTGTCAGAGTGCAAAATTATATTTCTTGTAGATGGTATTTACACTGATCAAAAAATGTCACTTGAAAAAATGAGGTTATTATTATTATTGTTGCTGGGCTGAGGAGAGCGGCCCCTCTCGTTACCGCGATCTATAAGATCTATTGTAACTTTAGCCCTCCAAAGGTTTAGGGCAAATGTAGGTCCTTAATGAACCTTACTATTGTCCTGAGGTCTTGAACCTTTATGTCGGTAGGTAACAAGGGAGTTTTACAGAAAATGTTGTGTCTTAGACGGCCTCTGGCGACGCAATTGCACAGTATATGTTCAGCAGTTTCTGACTCGTCGTTGCATAGTCGACAAGTTTGATGCTCAGCTTGTCCAATGTGGAAGAGGTGGTATTTTGGGGGCGCATGGCCGGTCAGGTAGCCTGAGAGCGTTCTTAGATCCCCTTTGCTGAGGCATAAAACCTCTTGGTTTTGTTTTGCGACGGAGTTATCATACTCTTCGCTTGTCTGTGACCTGGAAGTTCTTTCCAGCGTAAGGCTATCTTTGAAACCTCCCAGTTGTTGATTATTTGTTTTAGGTGGCTTTTTTGTAGTCCACAACCAAGTTGGGGTCCAATGAAGGGCGTGTTCGCTGCCTCTTTGGCCAGCTTATCGGCCTTCTCATTGCCCTCAATGTTTCTGTGACCTGGAACCCGCCATAGGGTAACATCATTGCCCCTAGCGAGTTCTCTCAGGTTATTGGTACACTCTCTGATAAGTGCGGAGTCACACGTGTAGGACTGAATTGCCTTTAAGGCGGCCTATCTGGACTATCTGTGAAAATGTTTATGGATGCACCTTTTTGTCCCTTCTGTAGGTTCAAAGCAGTGCAGAAGTTTATAGCAAGTTCTGCAACTTCTGCTTGGAAAATTATTAAGTCCGAGCTGAGGGGCAATTTGATGTGGCTATTTGGTCCACTGATGCCCATGCCTACTCCAGATCTTACTGTCTTTGGAGCATCGGCATACCAGGCTAGGGCTCCTCTTTTTAGTTGAGGCCTTACCTTCGCCCAATCATCCCTGCTTCTAAATATGACCTTATACGGCTGATTGAAGTTGTATTCAGTCGGTATGAGGTCCGTTTTAATTTCATACAGGTGATTTAGACATGGGTCCTTGAGGATCTCGAGGTGTTCTCTGAGGTTACCCTACATCAACTTGAGTGAAGAAACTGTTTTCAGTGATAAGGCATTTAAGGCTGCCTCCTTTTCTATGTATAAATCACCCCTTATGTTAAGACATGCTAACCGCTGGATTTGTGCCAGCTGTTGTTGTGCTGTCTTATGTTTTGTTTTTGGCCACCAAACCAATGAGGCGTAGGCGACCATGGGTCTGATTATTGCTACGTAGCCCCAATGAGCCATTCGTGGTTTGAGACCTCAGTTCCTTTCTAGGAGCCAGCGGCAGATCTGGTTTGCCATGATGGCCTTTTTCCTCACTTTATCTAAGTGTGAGTTCCAGTTTAGTTTACTGTAAAGTATTACCCTTAGGTATTTAGCTTCTGTTTTGAGGTT